GTCGGCCGGGCGGCGGCGGGGTCGGGGGAGCGCGGAGTCAGCGGGCCGGAGGAGCGCGGGGGTGGCCGGGCGTGCGCCCAGGTGCCCTGAGCTGGGCGCTCTTCTGTGCAGGCCTGGGAGGCCCGGTTCGCGCTGGGGGTCACGCAGATGGTCCCCATGTCACACGGGAAAGCTACTGATGCAGTGGTTCTGCAGAAGGGTCTGGGATATCAGATTTCCCCCTTTTAAAGACGGATGAGTTCAGATCTGCAAGGGGTCTTAGAAACCACCCTTAGGAGTCGGTCCGTGCAGAGCGGGGCTTAGAGCCGCGGCCTTCGTCTCCAGGCCGGCGCTTTGTCTCCACCCCGGAGACGCTGCCTACCGGTCCACGTTTCAGAGTTTGTTTTTTCCCTCCTCTGGTTGAATTTATAAAAATGTTGTCTGTCATCCATACGTGCTTTTTTTTTTTTTTTAGGAAGAAATTGTCTAAAATACCATGAAGTCAAGTAAATCCCACTTACTAATTCAAATCAAGAATGTGAAAGTGAGGGTGGCTCTCTTTCACCTGGGATATCCTGTGTTTTGTCACCCCGAACACCCAGTGGTTGTCATCCTCATGATGTCAGAGGGGAAATCTCCTGACGAAAAAAGACCCCGTAGAAGCTTGTCTATCAGCAAAACTAAAAAACAAGGATCTATTATTTCGTACTTTAACAATGCACCACCTGCTAAACTTGCCTGCCCCATTTGTAGTAAAATGGTGCCAAGATATGACTTAAACCGGCACCTTGACGAAATGTGTGCTAACAACGATGACTTTGTTCAAGTTGATCCAGTACAGGTTGGCTTAATGACATCACCTATAACCACTGTGGATTTAACTAATATCGCTTTAGAAAATGTAAGGCCAAAGAATTCATCACCACCAAAGACAAGTCTAACTCCTGGCCAAAGGGATTCAGCAAAAATGGGTGTAAAACAGCAGACCAGTCCCTACTTTAAAAGTAATGATGACTTTGTGTGCAAAAATCAGGATGAACTGAGAAATCGTGATGTGAAAGTCATTTCTTTGGGAAGCCTGTCGTCTAAATTGTCCAGAAAATACATACATGCTAAGAATTCAACAGATAAGAATGAAGAATTTGCAATTCATAGTCCACAGAGTTCTGTATCCACAGTCATGAGGAGCCTGGTTGATAACTGTTCAGTAACTGCGGACCAAGATCAAATTTTGGAGAACAGTTCTCAAAAGGAAAACATTTTTACATGTGATTCTCTAAATGAAGAGTGTACTCCTGAACATACGGCAAAAAAGAGTAAAATGATGGACACTGTGAGCCAAGAGGCTACCCAGGAATGTGCGAAATCAGCCCTAGCCCCAGGCTTCTCAGATAATGCTCCCATTTCAATTTCACCAGGTGTAACTCTTTGGAATAAATTAAAGTCCAGTTCAGAAGACAGTCTTGTAAAGCAGGAGGGTGTCAAAGGAGTAGAGGGTAAGGGTGTTGAAGGGTGTGAGGCACGTAATTGTGAAGAGGTAAAAATGACTGTTGCTTCAGAAGCTAAAACACAGTTGCCAGATTCAGAGGCGAAATCTTCTAGTTCTGCAAATGTTGCTTCTAAATGGAGTCACATCCAAGAACTTCCTCTGGAAGGTGCCAGTGGCTTAAAGAGTGAGATCACTTGCAGCATTCCTTTGGAGCAGGGGTCAGACTGCAATGTTCCTGGAAAAACAACTCAAACGCCACCGAGTCACCCTTACTACCTTCGGAGTTTCCTTGTGGTGCTGAAAGCCGTACTTGAGAATGAAGATGATATGATGCTCTTTGATGAGCAGGAGAAGGGAATAGTAACTAAATTTTATCAATTATCAGGTAACGTAAGCCTATTTGCTTCCCAGTTTTTGTTTCCCATTTGCTGTCCTGATTTGGGTGTGTTTTGACCACCAGGAAGCGCTGTTCTTTTGTAGAGCGCTGCGTGGAAGTCCCCCTGGGAATCAGCCTACTGCAGGGTACCTTTGGGGAACAATATGCATGTAAGAAAGACAAGATTTTGTGCTTTAAAACAATACAGTGTGACTTAGAGAAACATACTTTGCATTTGGAGCATGTGATCAAGCTTTACTGTTGGGTGCTTTTGTTGTTTTCACACACCATTTTCTCAAAAGTGAAGGTAAAGTAAAAATACAGGAAAAAAAACCCCACCTGAGGCATATTTTCTTTCCCCAACAACATTTTAAATTCATGCACTCGCCCTTTAAAGTTAGGGTGGGGAGGAAATGGCACCTTTCAAGCTTAGATTGGTACATTTAAAAATACCAGTCTATGCCTCAAATCCTTGGTGGCTGGTGGTGGCTCCAAGCCGGTAGTACAGGTTTGGACAAAAGCCACTCTGGTGTTGCTGCACTGTTAATCCAAAGGGCCATGATGGCTCTGTGGGACTGAGTCCCTTTGAGGTAGGAGAAGCTTACTTGGTGGTCACACTGTCCTCGAGTAAAATGAGCCATGCCTGACTCCTCAGTATGATTAAAAGAAAAGTACTGAACATTACTACTAGTGTTTCAGAAGGATTTTTGTTTTAAATTCATACAGTGGAATTACAGTATTCCTTGTATTACTTTTTCACATGTGAGTGATACTTCTCTGAGCACAGTTCTGTAGAGTAGCCACATCACTTCCACCTCTACTTGTGTTCTTACCAGAAGACGGACATAGTGCTTTGGCTCTTCTATCCAAAGCAGTCACAATTCTTGGGTTGGGTGCTGATTGCGTTCATGTGAGTATTTGTTTGATTCATTCACGTGAGTATCTGTGCTTCCATATAATTGAGAAATATGGGCAGTTGCCCTAGTGTAAATTAGGCAAATTCTGTGTATTGCTCTCCGTGGAGAATCATGTACAATTTATCAGTGTGTGAAAATAATGCTGCTAATTGGTTTTGCCTCTTTAAAGAAAAAAAGGAAAATAAATGTTGAAAATTAAAAAAATACAATTACACTATTTTAGAGTTGGTAGAAATTTAAAGGTAATCTGGGTAACAGGGAAACTGAGACCATACAGTTTAGTGAAATGGCTTGGCCAAGATCACTGAGTTAGAGAAGACTGCCCTACCAGAGACTGCCGTAGACATTTTGGGGATAATTTTTTTCAGATTATTTTCAACCAAAAATGAATAATGCATATAAAACTAAAAACAGAGAACAATATAACTAGAATTTTGGGTAGGGCTTCTCAGAGAGTAGAAGAGTTGGTGGCTAGAAAATGGGGGAACTTAATTTTAGAGGTTTTAAAATGACCAATAATTATTAACAAGTTGGAACTTTTTTATTGTTTATACTGTAAAATGACTTAATTATACATATGGTAAGCATGTGTGTATTTCTGATAGAGTATATTTACTCCCGTCGGGTTTAAAAAATAAATGATGTTTGTATGTTGTTTTTAGCAGAAAAGTAGTGTTTTTCACCATTTTTCTTAACTTTATTGCAGCTAGCGGTCAGAAGTTGTATGTGAGGCTCTTCCAACGTAAATTAAGCTGGATTAAGATGGATAAACTAGAATATGGAGAGATTGCCCCAGATTTAACATCTGTGGTTGAGGAGTTGAAGCACACGGGCTTTCTGCAGACAGGTATGACTAGTGCAATGACACATGAAATGAGAATGTGACCTGAAGATTAGGTTTCTGGAGAGCAATGGGAATATTCGTATGGTGCCAGCTCCAGGTCAGTGCTTGGTAAATAGTGATGTTTTTTTAATTGAGCCTTTAATTTTAGGGCAACAAATTATTTATGTGATGCTGAAGCCATTCTTAGCCTGGGTTAAGACTGCTAGGAAAGATTGTCAGCTGTTGTTTTCTTGACTCGCAGGTTTAGGACCAGAGTCCCCTAGGGACAAATACAGTGCTGTGTGCCACAGAAGAAATGTCCCCTCTGTGCCCTCCCAGTGAGAGCTTGACTCCTCCAGATTCTTCATCTTTGTGACAGAATAAGCTGGTGTGTCTGAAGCCAGTATCGCTGCATGGCAGCGGGGGAGAAGCATGTGGGGAGAGCAGAGCTGGTGATCGGTTTACTCTGTGACCTGCTTTGGAGAGGTCCCGTTGGAGGTTTTGTGATGAGAAAGACAGGCAATGTAGATTCCAGGAAGCTTTTAAGCAGGGTGCCCAGACCATGATGGCTGTCCATGTCTGTCTTTGTTTTATTCATGTTTTCCTTTCCTTTTTTAGTGAGAAAATCTATTATCTTATAACTTTCAGAAGATATCTATTTTCTCTATACTTTAATAATTGGTTTGGGGGCCGGCCTGTGGCTCACTCGGGAGAGTGCGGTGCTGATAACACCAAGGCCCCG